ATGTAAGTTAGTCCTATATATGGCGTCCAAGAGTTTAGTTGTATCTTGTTAATAAATTTATATATTTTTGTTACTTAAATTGACGACTATCGCATAAATCTCCAGATCAACCTTTTCCGTTGACCTAGTTCCCCACAGACGCCTCGCCGGTCACCCCATCTATCGGCATACAGCTAGCGACGATCGTATACCCCCTCCATCGGGCTACCACTAACAATAAACGGATACCACTTCCAACGATTTACAGCATCAGGACCGTACCCGCGTGATCGAGAACCCAACGCACAGCAATACATCCGTACAAAGGAGATTTTTATATTTACCATAAATTGATTTGAGTAGTTTTCGCGGAATAGAATAGATGATACCGATCCATAATGACATCGCAAAAACAGCTCGAACAAAAGCAGAATTTAGGATCGCGATTAACGCACTTCGAAAATTTAATTGAAGAAGGAAGTTTAAGTGTAGATGAACTAAGAAGGCGTTACGAACGTCTTACCAAACAAGTAGATGATTATGAATCATTGTATGAAAAGTGTGGTAATAACAGTGCCGGAGAGACAGGAGTCGACGATCTAGACCAACTCATAGAAAGATATCACGTGATCGGAGACAAAATTCATTTAAACGATACCGCCGCAGTTAACAACCCGAATAACTCTAACGAAAACAACGATATCACGAAAACTCGCGATCAACAAATACAATTACGGCGTCTTGAGATCCCGCGATTCGACGGGAATATAGGGAAATGGATCCCATTTAAATCTAGCTTGTTAACCCTCGTAGACGCGCGTAGTGATATATCGGACTTAGAAAAACACGTATACTTTCGCGACTCCTTTCCCGGCGAGGCCCTTCAAACGATCGAACATTATCAATTAACCGGGGAAAAATATAAGGACGCGTGGGGAGCCTTACTGAGGGCGTTCGATGTACCACGTATACTATTAGCCCGGGTAATCGACGCGTTAATCGACATACCCCGACCGAAGGCCGGATCAGCGAAGGACGTAACTGCATTTTTGAACGAACTGCGTTCTCACATCTCCACACTTGAGACATTTAATGAAAGTTCAGTGGCCTGGCAAGTACGCCTCGCTGAACGCGCGTTACCCCCCGAGATGCTACAAGAATGGAACAAACAGATAGATTCCGACGAATATCTGACTATCGAGCAATTCTTTAATTTTTTAACCCGATATGCGCGTGCGTGTGCTTCGCTGGAAACGTCATCAACTCCGCGAACCTCGAGCCCCGCGCAAAACGTAAATATCCCGAGAAGATGATTTTACGACCACGAAAGCGACAGGACACACGTCCGACACGCACGTTTTTTACTCGTGCAATGACGAGATGTATTCTTTGTAGACGAGCTGATCACCCTTTATATCGCTGCCCCCGATACAATAACATGACGGAACAAGACAGACTGACGATGGTCAAACGTCATAGATTATGTCAAAATTGCTTACGGACGCATCGAAGTCTATGCAACTGCTCACATTCTCAAATCTGTAGACGACCTCACCATACATCACTACATATGAATAATAGCTAACAGAAGGCCGCGATACAGGAGACCTCCACGAAGCAGGAGACCGCGTCAACGTCCCAAACTGAACCCATCTCCACGTGACTAACTCCGATCTTTAATAGCAACGCGCGCGGTATATCGAATCAACTTCTTATGAGCGCGATGTGCCGCGTAAGAAAGGGAGACGGAACTTTCAGACTATGTCGGGCGCTATTAGATACGTGTACCGCCGCACACTTCATCACCGAGAAGGTCGCGAGAGACCTACGTTTGCAGATCAAACCATATTCGATCCCTATTCACGCTATCAATGACACCACAACTCAAACGACGGGCGTTATCGAGATAAACATTCGATCATTAGATAACAAATATAGTCGAAACCTTTCACTACTCATCGTTCCAAAGATAGCCGATCAGGTACCCAGCGAAATCTTCCCGCGAGAACTCATTAAAATCCCGTCCGATCGAAAACTGGCAGATCCCCAGTTCCATTTACCACGACCGGTCGATATCTCTGGACCGGACCGATAGGCTCTGGAGCAACACTAGCGCTCATGACAATAGGACAATTTTCTTTATCACCAGGACGCGGCTATCTGATACTCCAGAAAACACAATTAGGTTGAGTAGTCGCCGGGGGAATCGAATCTAACGATCATAAGAGAAACCATACGTTTTTTGCGACAACCGAATTGAAGGAACAATTAGAAAAATTTTGGTTATGGGAGGAAGCGAATATAACGCGATCGGAGTCGGTAAACGAAATAGACTCTGAAAATCATTATGTCTAAAACACCAAGCGCGATGAATCAGRGCGATATATTGTGCGTTTACCTTTTCGCGAAGAAGGACACGATTATAGTCATCTACGCGGTATAGCTCTACGTCGATTCCATAATCTCCGGAAGAAATTATACGCGAATACTGAACTTCGGAAGGAATATGAACGAATTATGCGGGAATATATCAATTTAGGACACATGTCGATCGTCGAAGATGAACCTATAGGGGGTTGCTATCTTCCCCACCACGCGGTTATCAAATCAGCTAGCAAGACAACAAAGGTACGGGTCGTATTCGACGCCTCCGCAAAAAATGATAAGAGACTTTCTCTCAACGACACCTTATTAGTCGGACCTACAATACAAGACACGTTAGTAGAACACTTGTTACGATTCCGGACGTATCGGTACGTATTAACAGTGGACATCGAGAAAATGTATCGGCAAATATGGATTCATCCAGACGATCGCCAATATCAACAGATATTTTGGTGGCATAACGAACAAATTCGCACGTTCGAACTTAATACGGTGACATTCGGAATAGCGTCAGCACCGTTTCTTGCCATACGAACCATCAAACAACTCGCGAAGGATGAAGGCGCAAATCATCCGCTCGGAGCCGAAATATTAAACCGGGATCTATACGTTGATGACCTCATTACCGGAGCGGATAACATCGAAACCCTCGGAAGGATACGCGATCAAATCATCGAAATATTGAAACGAGGCGGGTTTAACATACGACAGTGGGCGTCTAACTTCCGACCGGTGCTCGAATATTTAGATATAAAGAACGTCGACGTCGAACTCTGCTCGGGGGACAATCATATTTTAAAGACACTCGGTATTTCATGGAACGCCCACCGCGATTATCTAATCTATTCCGTCGCGCCCGTAGACACTCGCGAAAGAATTACCAAACGACGAATTCTATCCGAAGTAGCAAGGATCTTCGATCCACTAGGACTGTTAGGACCCGTCATTCTAACAGCTAAGGTCTTCATCCAAGACTGCTGGAAAACACACGTTGACTGGGACGAATCTGTGCCCAGCGCATTACATGCCTCGTGGATAACATTCGCGGAACAATTGAAATTAATCGATAATTTAACGATCGAGAGACGCGTTACACTCGATGACCCGATCGACGTGTAGTTACACGGTTTCTGCGACGCGAGTCAATCTGGTTACGGCGGCTGCTTATATGTAAGATCGCGAGATAAATTCGGTAATACACGCGTACGTCTACTTTGCGCTAAAAGTCGTGTGGCTCCTCTTAAGGACACCACCATACTACGTTTAGAATTATGCGGAGCATTGACACTCGCGCGATTATATAGAGAAGTCCGGACCGCCGACGGATTGAAACCCGACAAGATAACGTTCTGGTCCGATTCGATGATTGTATTAGGTGCTAATTATCCAGTCGGAGCCGAAATACTCAACCGCGATCTATACGTGGACGACCTCATTACGGGAACTGATAATGTCGAAACCCTCGGAAAGATACGCGATCAAACTATTGAAATATTGAAACGAGGCAGTCTTAATATACGACAGTGGGCGTCTAACTTCCGACCGGTGCTCGAAAATTTAGACACAAAAAAAACATCGACGTCGAGTTCTGCTCTGGGGAAAATCCTATTTTAAAGACACTCGGTATTTCATGGAACGCACATCATGATTGTTTAATCTACTCCGTCGCGCTAGTAGATATTCACCAAAGAATTACCAAACGACGAATTTTATCCGAAGTTGCAAAGATCTTTGATCCACTCGGACTCCTAGGACCCGTCATTCTAACAGCCAAAATCTTCATCCAAGACTGCTGGAAAACACACGTCGACTGGGATGAATCGGTACCCAGTACGTTACGTACCTCGTGRATAACGTTCGCAGAACAATTGACATTAATTGACAGTTTAACGATAGAAAGACGCATTACACTCGACGACCCGATTGACGTGCAGGTGCATGGTTTTTGCGACGCGGGTCAATCTGGTTACGACGGCTGCTTATATATAAGATCGCGAGATAAATTTGGTAACACATATGTACGTCTACTTTGCCCGAAAAGTCGTGTGGCTCCCCTTAAGGACATCACTATACCACGTTTAGAATTATGCGCGCGGTTATACAGAGAAGTCCGGACTGCCGGCAGATTGAAACCCGACAAGATAACTTTTTGGTCCGATTCGATGATTGTACTGGGTTGGCTGAAAAGAAACTCCAATACGTTAAAATTATACACGGCGAATCGCGTGCGTGAAATACATGAAATCTGTGAAGATATCACATGGCGACATGTGCGATCCGAGGACAACCCAGCGGACGCTTTATCTAGAGGACAACTTCCGCGCGATTTTCTGAGGAACGAGGCATGGTTCCATGGACCACCCTGGCTCGCGCAACCAGAAACTGAGTGGCCCAACACGACAAAAAGGGAAATTCTCGAATTACCGGTCGTAAAAGGATTATCGGGACTAACGACGCGAATTGAATCCGGAAATGTATTTCAGCGATTCTCTAGTTACGCGCGATTATTGAAAATTGTAGCTCGATGCCGACGATGGCTTAAAACTAACTCGTATAAGGGAGAATTGTTTACGGCGGAAATAACAGAAACGGAACGACACGTTTTAAAGATCGTGCAAGGCGAACAATTTCACGCCGAAAGAGAAAGATTAAAAACAGCGGGGGGAGTTAAGAGCACAAGACTAGCCGCGTTAGATCCGATTCTCGACGAAGAAGGCTTAATTCGAGTGGGGGGCCGACTTCGAAACGCGAATTTAAGTTTCTATGAGAGATGTCCGATATTATTGCCCTCACATCATCACGTCACCGATCTCCTTATCCGAAAATTCCACGAACAAAATTTTCACGCTGGCATACARACTACCCTCTATGCTCTTCGACAACGGTTTTGGTTTCTCGACGGCAAGAATCAAGTGCGAAGAATCGTACGTCATTGCGTACGTTGCATTCGATTCCGTGCGTCCGGCATCCGGTATAAAATGGGGGATTTACCAAGCTCTCGAGTGCAGGAAGCCACTGCATTCTCCCATGTCGGAGTAGATTTTTTCGGGCTGATCTATGCGAAGGAAAAGAAATACCGTAATAAGGGTCGCGTTAAAATATACGGGTGTATCTTCGTCTGTATGACTATAAAGGCGGTATATATCGAATTAGTCAGCGATCTGACTACGGATGCCTTTCTGGCCGCTTTTAGGCGATTTGTGAGTCGAAGAGCTGTTCCAACTCACGTTTATTCTGATAACGGAACCAACTTCGTCGGAGCTAATAATCAATTAAGGGAGTTGTACGCCCTGATGGAATCAGACGAATATAAAACAAGGGTCCGTGATTTCGAAATAGATCATAGAATATCGTGGCATTTCAATCCACCCCTCTCACTTCATTTTGGAGGTTTATAAGAAGCGGCTGTCAAATCTTTCTAACACCATTTTAAACGGGTCGTCGGTGAACTTGTCTTCACGTATGAAGAATTAACTACATTCGCGATCGAAATTGAAGCTATTTTAAATTCACGTCCATTATGCCCTATCTCGTCAGATCCGAATGACGTGACAGCACTAACACCCGCACATTTTTTAGTTGGAAGACCTATTACGACATTACTAGAGGAAGATTATGTTAAAACCCCAGCCAATCGATAGTCTTCATGGAAACATATCACGAAGGTGCGACAAGATTTCTGGCGACGCTGGCATATTGAGTATCTACGAGAACTGCAGAAACGCCAAAAATGGATACAACCCCAGCAGAAAATCGAAAAGGACACCATCGTCATTCTCATCGACAAGAATCAACCTTGCATGAGATGGCTGTTAGGCCGGATCGTGAGCATACATCCAGGAGAAGATGATGTAGTACGAGTGGTCACCGTGAAGACGGTCCACAGAATTGTCAAGCGCAATGCGACAACTATTTGTCCATTGTTAAA